TTAATTTTATTTGCACTCCAATACAATCAAGCTGCAGAAACCACTTCATTCTCTGCCTCCTCCTCCAGCTTGGCAAACAACAGCTTGACCAAGAGGAATTTAGTGTCTGGGGATCCTACTTTGTTCCGTTGTTCAATGACCTCTCTGACCAGAGCACTATTTGACAGTGTCCATCAGCTCCTCAGGCATCTTTAGAAAGCTGGCACTTGTTCCCAGTAAAGAACATTATTAACATGAACATCTTCAGTTCTTTAATAATTTGGATGAATCCTCTCTTTTTAAATGGTTGTATGGTATGGAAGACAGAAAACTCGGTAAAAAAATAATATTACATTTAAAGCCCTTTCTGACAGACCAATTACTTCACAACACAGTACAGTTCTATCACATACATGAGCTCTGAAAGCACTTTGTTTCTCAAAGTCCAGGTAAGAAATTTGAGTATCAGTGTTAAGAACTGGACTAAAATGACACCTCGCTCTGAACTATGATGTTATTCATTCATTTGGAAGTAACTTAGATCCAGTTCCCAGGGAAGGTTGGCCTCATGTACGTGTATCCTTCCCCTATATGTTGATACCCTTCCTACACTTGGGGCAGAGGGGAGAAAGTTACCCTTCTTGGAACTAAGCAGGGAATTAATTCACTTGTTTTTTTCTACCTTTTCCAGATTAATTTAATTAATCCCTGCCCTTCAAGAGTAGGAAGTTATAAAAAAAAAAAGTTCACAGGAAAGGGTTAAATTAAGACATGGAGATCCACGAGAAGAGAAAAAAAACCAACACAATGAAACAAAAGCAACATACAGAAATGCAAGAAGCCTACAAATTGTTATAGGGAATAATGTTTATGAAGCAAGTAAAGGAAAAATAAAGTGATTAAAAAACCAGAGATATTAAGAGATTTCATATATATGGTGCTAAATTATTTTTTATTTACATTAATAATTGGCATAAATACAGCTATAAAACGTTCATAACTATAGACACTATGTAGTAGAAAGTGCAGCTCAGTTATAAAATTCTTATCAGGCTTTAATTTGATAACATCTGTTTCCATTTAAAATGGGAAATGGAAAAAGGGAATTGCATATACAGGTGAAAACAGCAATTTAAAATGCTGACAAGTCACATCAGAACCTGAGGTAGTTCTTTTCCTCACATATGCACACACTAAAAAACAGACTGTTGAGGTATTCCTTTCACCAGAGAAGCTTTATCCTAATCAGACACCAGTGCTTTGGGAGTGAATCCTGCACATAGTCTGCACTGTTTACAGTCCTAGAAAGAATGGCTTAAACACTTTCATTTTAGCTGAAAAATAATTCAGATTATCACTCTAGCCTGAAAACATTGGTTGCCTGTGCAACTATGAATGTCCTTCCACGTATTACAATTTAATTGCATCCTCATCTAGCAAACTTCTGAGAGATGCTAGCTTCCTTTAAAGGAGAGGAGAGACTGTTTTCAAGGGATGAATCAGGCTAGCAGAGAGCAGGGCTGCAGACAGCTATCCTGTCTCCTTTGTACCAGCACCAGCGTCACCACAATGAATGAGAATGGAAAATGCTGAATAGTTCAGGTAATTCAAATGCTACTCAAGGGAATTAGATTTGATCCCTAAATTTTCTACACAGTTCCAAGGTGATACTCAACTAGTTAGTTACTTTGCCAAATAAAATGGCATGTCCTTGTTTATGAAGTGCCTTCATTCAGATGCAAATGAAGATACAGTGTAAGAACTCCCTGAACTGAACACGCCTCTACATAGTTAGCCATCCCTAATGCACCTCTTGTCCATATATTGGTCCATTTTCCCCCTAAAACCATGCAAGCTTTTAGCGAACACAGTATCATTTGGGGAAATGGGTGGGTTTACTACTGACAGCATCAAGAGCCATTTCCATTTGTTTGTTTTATACCTGGCTTTCTTAATGACCAAAATCAGTGACAAATTGATTCAAATCATCCTGGTATATTATTCACAACTTTGTAGACCTCTGCTATATGTCCCCAAGTAATTTTGTCTCAAATTTGAAGAGTCCCAGATTCAGTCAAACTCATATAGAAACCATTCCTTTTTCTTTGATTATCCTTCTCATCTTTCTCTAAAGCTCCTTCTAACTGCACTATATTCTTTGAAGATAACAAGAGCAGAGCTGGCACACAGCAATCAAGATGTGGGTGAGTCATAATTTATACACCAACATAATATAATTTTCTGATTTATATTGAACTTCTTTAGCCATTCTTAACACTTGATTTGCTTTTTTTGACCATCAGTGGACTATAAACTGACATTTTATGAACCCCATGATCTCACTGCAGAGTGCCAATGGCAAGCTCCGAGTCCATTGTTCTGTGTGTGAAATTAGGATTTTATGCAGTGTGCATTATTTTATATCTCTTTATCCACACTAAAATGTGCCTGCCATTTTATTGCCCTATCACTCACAGTTGGCAATATTGTGATGGTGCCTCTACAGGTCCTCACAATCATATATTGTCCTTGCTATTCTAAAGTAGCTTTCATTTGCAAACTTTTGTCTTTGCATGGTTCTCTGGCCCCTACTCTGGTCCCTTATGAAGACGCTGAATGGCACAGACCTCTAGAGGATGCCTTGGTGACTACTTCTGGGCATACTAACAATTAATTCCTACCTTGTCTTTTTCCTCTTAAACAATTATATATCTATGGAAGTATCCTTCTTCTCATAGAATGGCAATTTAGCTTCATTACAAGCTTTTCTAGAGGGACACAGTCCAAAGCCTTTTGGAAATTAACTAGCCTGTATCAATCAGTTCTCCCTTATCTATACACTTGCTGACCCCTCTAGAAGTCTCCAAGGTTGAAAATTAAGCATATGACATGAAACATACAAGGGGAAAAAAAAAAAAAAAAGAAAAAAAAAAGAGGGAAAAAAAATCTAGTTGTTTTGTTTCAGGCACTGCAAAATGGCACATACTTCATTTTCGCATCCCAGCTTAAAAATGAAGATCATGACAATCACCTTTTCACCTAATATTATTCCAGAAATAAATGTTTGTGAGCAATTTAAATACTCAGTAGTATTTGAATGCAATGGAAAACGTTGCAATTATTTCAGCAGAGACCTCCTAAAGGTGCTTAGCTGCCGAAGTTTAATGCTTAAGAATTACTTGAACCTTCACATTCCTACACAGCCCTATCATTGCATCCTGCAATCACCACGAAGACTAAGCCTGCACTTGCATTAATATACAAAATATACATCTTAAGAACTGGCCTCACCAATTTTTTAACTCTGGTCAGGTTCCAAAAATTTAGGTATCCTCGTTATTACCTCATTTGAGGCACTGATCAAAATAAGCATTCCCAAAGCATACCTAGTCAATTCAGTACAAACTGCAGTCAGGAAAGAGGGAGAACA